GAGAGGGAGAGACTTCAGCGAAGCAGCACTGTCCTTACATACTTAGTCACGTGTGTCCTGTCACTTTGGGCACATTCTGTTAGAAAGAAGTCACAGGTCACTCCCACACTGAGAGAGGACTGGAGGAGTGCATGAACATCAGGAAACAGATCATGGGGAGGCCACTCTAGAGACTGCTGTAGAGACGCATGCAGGTGAGGAGACACACACTCAGAGTCTGAATTAGGGTGGTCTTGATGCAAATAGAAAAGAAGAGTCAGATCCAAGAAACCATGTCTAGGAGTATAATCGTGAATTCTTACCCATACCACGTGAAGGTCTTTGCATCCATTATCTCAGGTAAGCCTCAAAATAACTATTTGAGGTGGCTGTCAGGAGAATCCTTATTTCACAGATGAGGACACAGGCTTTTAAAAGTTAAGTTCCTAGCTCACATACATCCCAGCTTCAAATCTGGGTGTCCCAACTTAGGTTTGAACATAGGATGCCAGTCTCAGAGCTCCATAGTCTTCGCCACTCTTCGTTACTTGGACTTCACGGTGTAGAGGATTTAAAGAGAGATGGGGAAGAAAACATTGAAGATTAACTGCAAGAGTTTAACCCATTTCAACTCAAAGGATGGTGGTATTATCGAAAACAGGCATGTCATGAGAGGCACTGGCATACACTGCCTGCCACGCAGTGTGCTAAGCCCTCAGTATGCATCATCACATTGAATGTTCCAACAGCCTGCAAGAATAGTGGATATTCAGCAGATACCCAGATTCCATTAGTGGAGACAAAAGTTAGTGCTAGAATAACCTATCAGGGAGTATCATATGGAGATCATAAATCTCTAAGATGAGAGGGTGTGAGGGTGATCTGGCAGTGACATCTGTCACCCCATTGGTCACCAGGGTTGATTTGGCTGATCTGGCTGGCTAGGCGATATCCCCTTCCTCCCTCACTGCTCTGTGTGCACCCCTCCTATAGCTGTGCACTCAAAGAGGGTGACCGTCCCGGATAGAGGAGGGCTGTTCTTCCATCAAGGGTATATGGGAATTGCGCACCTGTTAGAAACTCTGAACAACCTGTCAAGGTCGATTCATAGGAGAATGTAGGGTAGTCAAGATTCCAAGACTCCACACACATCCAAATGAGGCACTGCATGTGACAATCTGCGTTTCTTTTAAAAAATAATTAAAATAAAATTAGATGAGATGTTTAAGAGAGAAAGGACAGGCCCCACAAGAGAACCTTAGAAAACACCTATATTTAGCGGTTGAGGGAGGAAGATACAGTTAAAAAAGCAATGAAGACCTGTACATTGGAGAGATAAGACGGAGAGATGGAGATATAACTGTAAAAGCAAAGGGGAAGGAGAAGAAAAAGGGTTGTCAGCAAATACCACCAGAGAGTAATCAAAGAATCTCATAATCAAGGCAGGATAAAGGAATTTGGAGGTTAGGACGGAGGGAGGGACTGACTGAGGGTCAGACTTTTGGGTGAGCAGATTCAGGAAAACAGAGCCTAGCAGGAGTCCGCTGGCATAGAGGTGGATGGGCGAGCTGGGCTGTGAAGATAAGAGTGGGGAGTGAGGATGTAGAATTCACCAGTATAAACTTCTCTATAATTGCAGATGAACTAGTAGTAGTGAGAGGGTTTGAACAACTGAGTAGCAGTAATCTTGTGTGTTGTAAACAGAAGGGAAGGTTCAAGTCAGAAGAAACTGAAAATGGTGGAAAGAGACAGACTGCTGATGGAACGTGACCCCAGAGGAGACAGAAGGCAAAGAAGAAGAAGGTGCAGGTCCTTAGAAAAGGGAAGAGACATGTTACCAATGGAGGTGGGAGAAGAACTGAAAGAAACTGAAAGAAAATATAGAAGAAAAACAGAGATTCAGTAGGTTCAGTTTTCTTCTTAAAGAAGGACCCAAATTCATAGTGGGAAAGCAGAGGAAAAAATGTCAGTATTAGAAGATAGTACTAAATATGTTAATTAATGGAAGCAACAGTTGACCAAAGTTTATTGAATGTCTACTCTGAAGCAGAGAATTCAGTAGAGAAGACTTTAAAAGATGTTTATTTTTGAGACAGAGAGGGAGAGACAGAGGGTGAGCAGGGGATGGGCAAAAAGAGAGGGAGACACAGAAACCAAAGCAGGCTCCAGGCTCTGAGCTGCCAGCACAGAGCCCGATGCAGGGCTCGAACCCACAAACCATGAGATCATGACCTGAGCTGAAGTCCAGTGCTTAACCGACTGAGCCACCCAAGCGCCCCTAGCATGAACTTTTAATAGAACCAAGTAGCGTGGTTCCATAATTTTGCCCAGTGGTTTTTTTTTTAATTTTTTTTTACCGTTTTTATTTATTTTTGAGACAGAGAGAGACAGAGCATGAACGGGGGAGGGGCAGAGAGAGAGGGAGACACAGAATCGGAAGCAGGCTCCAGGCTCTGAGCCATCAGCCCAGAGCCTGACGCGGGGCTCGAACTCACGGACTGCGAGATAGTGACCTGAGCTCAAGTCAGACGCTTAACCGACTGAGCCACCCAGGTGCCCCTGCCCAGTGGTTATTGAAGGCAGTTAAATTCCCACTGCACAGGGCTGGAAATTGAAATAGAATGGCAGGTAAGCATGGATGAAAGAAAGATGGATTCTAGAGGCCAACAAAGAGTATCGGCATGGTCTCTACCCACCCAGTGATGAAGGTAAGTGAATACTGAGAAGAGTTTAAAATCTAAAGATTTTTGGGGGGGTGTGGAGGAAATTACAGGAAATGAGGAAACAAAATGCTTGTTATCAGAAAAGGAATGCTCTGAGACCTTAAAGTAAAATAGTTCCAAATCAAGCAAACTACAGAGTGCTCTGTCTGCAGTTTCAGAGGCTAAAGAACTATGAAGCCAAAGTATTATATGGGCCAGAAGTAAAAATAAATGATTGTGGCAGAGGATGTGAGGGGGTGGAGAATATGACTGACCAGGCACCCAAATCATGAAGACAAGGTGGAGGGTTATGACAGAGGTCAGGGTTATGACAGCAAGGACAGGGCTTAGATGTTAAGGTTCAAACACAGAGGTCGATAGAGGTGGAATACTAGTCTAAAAATGACAATGGGAGCAAGAATGTTTTTGAGACTGGTTGTGTCTTTTTGGGAAACTCCAGTTTTAATTAAGCTGAAGTTACAACTCTTTACCTTGGGAGTCAGTCTAAGACCAGCGGAGACTTTGCTTCACAATAGAACTAGGAGGCAAAGTCATCAGGGAGTGACTGAGACATAAGTAAGGGCACCTAGCAGGAAGGGAAAGTGTTAGTTGGAATCAGATGTAAGCATTGTTCTCTGCTCACATCTATGCTATCACTTCCTTACAAATGACCCTTCTGATCCTTAAAATTACCTGTAAGGCATTATCCCCATTTTATAAAAAAAAAAAAAAAAAAAGAATCTGGTTGGCTCAGTCGGTCTGACTCTTGATCCTGACACAGGTCCCGATCTCATGGTCGTGGGATCAAGCCCCATGTTGGGCATTTTTTCCCTGGCAGCATGGAACCTGCTTGGGATTCTCTCTTCCTCTCTCTCCCCTCCCCCACTCACACTTGTTTAGTTTGTTTGTTTGTTTGTTTGTTTGTTTTTTTCCCCCCTCTCTCTTTTTCTATTTTTTAAAAAAAATATCTGGTTTCAAGATTTGAATCTTGTCCTGACTGCAAACTCTAAGATCTTTCTACCACAACTTACTGACACTCAGTAGTCTTAAAGTGTTACTATGGCTTTCAAGAACTAACTAGAAATCATGTCTGACTTCCATGAAGTGGGTATAAAATACAATGTGTTTTTTAATTGAGGTATATTTGACCTATAACTTATTAGTTTCAGGTGTACAACATGATTTGGTATTAAACATCCGTCACCTTATATTATTTGCCAGTGTCTGTTGTCATGAGAACCTTTAAGACCTACTCTCTTAGCTTTCAGACATGCGGTACAGTATTAACTATAGTCACCATGCTGTATATTATATCTGATAACTTATTTTGTAACTGTAGATTTGTACCTTTTGACCCATTTCAACACCCCAATCTCTGTGCCCCTACAAGCACAGATCTGTTCTCTGTACCTATGAGTTCAGGTTTTTTTTTATTTGATCGTACATATAAGATCATATGGTATTTGTCTTTCTCTGACTTATTAGGTTTAGCATAATGCCCTCAGGGTCCATTTATGTGATTACAAATGGCAAAAATCCCTTCTGTTTTAATGCTGAATCATATTCCTCTATGTATGTGTGGTGTGTCTGTCTCCATTCATCCATCAGTGGGCACTTAGGTTGCTTTCATGTCCTGACTGTTGTAAATAATGCCACAGTGAACATGCAGGCACATGTGTTTTTTCAAGTTAGTGTTTTTGTTTTCTTTAGATAAATACACAGAAGTTGGATTGTCAAATCATATGGTAGTTTTAATTTTTTGAGGAACCTCCATCCCGTTGTGTAAAGTGGCTTCACCAGTTTACATTCCACCAATAGTGCACAAATGTTTTCTCTTTTCTCCACATCCCCACCAGCACTTGTTATTTCTTATCGTTTTGATGGTAGCCATTCTGACAAGGGGGGGGGGGGTGATGCCTCATTTTGGTTTCAACTTCCTTGATTATGGATTTGTAGTTCCCTGATGATTAGTGATGTTGAACACCTTTTCATATACCTGTCGGCCAACTATGTATCTCTTTTAGGAAAATGTCTGTTTAGATCCTCTGATCATTTTTTAATTAGACAATTTTTTTTTTGCTGTTGAGCTGTACACACAGCTTTTTCTCTTGAATTATATTCAGATCTAAAATATTCTGTGTGAGCCTCACAGGTAATCCTGTATATTTAAATCTTAATTTGTTTTTCAAGAAAAACATCGTGGACCCTTTTCCTTAATGAAATTAAGGAACTTCCAAAACATTCAAGATGAGCACATTGAATTTCTGCGACTATACCCTAAAACATTAAGTTAATACTTAATATTTCATTATTTTTCAGGTGTGAGAATGAAACCAAATTCAAAACGGAAGAAGTATTTTGGGCTTACAATTTCTGCCCTACGCCATACTCCTGGACTGCACTTCTGGGCCTTATTTTATATCTTGTTTTCTTCGCACCTGGTAAACAAAGGCTTTGTGTTTCTGTGTTAAAGTTATCTCTTTTTAAAGGAGACAAACTACTCTTTTTCAAATTTCTTATAAACTACCTTACTGAAAATGTTAATTTTTCTCAGGAATGGGACCAATGCCTTGGACGGTGAATTCCGAAATATATCCCCTTTGGGCAAGAAGTACAGGAAATGCATGTTCATCTGGAATAAATTGGATGTTCAACGTTTTGGTTTCACTGACATTTTTACACACAGCAGAGTACCTCACATATTATGGTAAGAGAATATTTTTTCCATCTATAGTTTCATTTTTATTTTTCCTATTCTTTTTATATGTACTGTCATTTGGGTTTAACAGAGTAGATGGTTATATTTTTGCTATACTCAGTATGTCTGCGTGGCTTTCTCATTCCCCAAAGGCCTTGGAAATGAACCTAGGGAAAGAGAAGAGTAATTCTTTACTAAGCAGCATGGCTGCTCATCCCTCAGTGCTTTATAGCCCTCACCCCATACAACCCAAACATCTCTTAGCTATCGCCCCAGTTGGAAATCTTCACTGCAGGCTTTTATTTTAATGAAGAAACATAAATAACAGAAGATGGTAGAAATGATGCAGGCAGGGAATCTAAGGGGTAATGTTGAAGATGTCTCATGACGGAGACAGTCATGTCCAGGTAGCTCCCCCAAAGGTCGTGCTGTGATGTATGCCTTCCACTAGATTATCTATGCTGTTCAGGCCACCGCGTGGTAATTTCAGTGTCGGCCCAGACCAGCACTTACCACTACCAAAAGCATAAACCTGACAGAAGTGTTTATGTGAAAATGTGTGGACCATAACTCAAAACAATATTAGGACGTGGCTGAGCCAGGAAAAAAGCTTTGGGAAGCTACTTCAAGTCCATTTTTAACTAAAGTGAAAAGATTTTCTCTTTAGCGAGAGAATTTCTTCACTATGAGCCAATAGTTTGTAATTGGATTCTAAACGATGGATTATCCCAAGATAGTCCCTGTAAGTCTCTGTATGTATATGGAGTGTCTGTTGCTTAGACCATTCTCTGACCCCTTCCCCATCATTCACCCCACCCCATCCCATGCTCTGGGCATGTACATTCCTTTTTGCAAGAACAGACACACACACATCCCACAGTTGGACCATAAATCACTGGAGCTTAGGCCAGGACTTAGGCCTGGTTTGCCATTATATTCCCAGTATCTTCCAGGGCCTCCTTTTCACTTGATAAGCCCTCAGAAGTGTTTGTCAAATTAATAAATACACAGATGAATTTTGAATATGAGGAAACATACAAATCTATTCTTCCTGTCTCCTGAACATACTGTATTAGTATTAGCTCCTATTATCTTTATAAAACTCTTGTCTCTCCCAGTGAACATTTAGAAATTTAGAAACATATTAAAAAAGGAAATGCATTGGCATTTTAAAATGGATATACATATTTCATATATTCAATTTTATCCCATTGGCAATTAAAGTTTTTTACATAAATTCAGAAACTTATCTTTCTGACACTATAGGTATTTATACAATAAATATTTACCCATATTTGCTAGTTCTTGAGAATGCTTAATTTTTTTGTTTGTTTTAGGGAATTCTTAAAGACCTAAATATAGGCTAATATCCCAAGGAAGTATTTTTGTTTGTTTATTTTTGAGAAAGAAAGAGAGAAACAGAGGATCCGAAGTGGGCTCTGTGCTGACCACAGAGAGCCCGATGTGGGACTCAAGCTCATGAGCCCGCAAGTTCATGACTTGAGCCAAAGTTGGTCACTTAGCCAACTGAACCACGCAGGGAGGCACCCCACAGAAGTATTCTTTTTATTAAGTTGTAGACCAAATACTAAAAGTCTACATGGCAAGACTTTTGTTAGCAAAGCTCCTCCTTCAGTTTATGCAGCCTCAACAACAGGAGGCAACAGAAATAAAATTTAAATAGGGCATACACAGCCATGCTTCTTTCAGAAATATTCAGTTAGAACCAATTGGCAGTTGCCAGAGGGGAAGGAGGGTGAGGGTTGGGCAAATATGGGTGAAGGGTGGTAGGAGGTACAGGCTTCCAGTGACAGAATGAGTGAGCCATGGAGATGAAGAGTACAGCACAGGGCACATGGTCAATGGTATTGTAATAGTGATACGTGGTGACAGATGGTAGCTACACGTGAGTATGGCATAATGTACATAGTTGTCTAATCAGTATGTTGTACACCGGAAGCTAATGTGAATTGTGTCAACTCTACTTCCATTTGAATATATACAGTTTATATTGTAATATATGTATATGGCTTATATATAATAAAATGTATATATTGTTTATATATCTAGTTAGAAGTTTTTGCTTTGCATTAAGCCAGGCTTCTAGTATGTCAACACACTGGTCCATTAGGTCTACTGCTTGCTAAGTTTTTTCTCTGTTTCTGGACCTAAATTTTAATCTACATGTTACTGATTTATGTAAGACACATGTTTCTATAGATGATTTAACAAACATACTCCATAACAATGTATTTCTCTTTAAATTTCCATGTCTTCTTTTATTGCCTCCTTTCTTATTTCATAAAACCTCAAATTTTGTTTTCTTCCTGAACTATACTGCTTAGACAAGTCTGCCTTGGCCCCCATTCAGTAACGTTTATTACTAAAAATTATCATTAAAATGTCAGGACTATACCATTTTATGTATAGCACTTGTGACTACTAAATACTAAATCTACTAAATAGATCCCTTGAAAAGCATTGTATCAAAGTTCCTGTACTGAGGTACTGAAATTCAGTCAGACATGGTCTTTGATTCCTCATCCTGTATAATTCAATTAAATATTTGTTTAAATCTGAAACTTCATATAGGATTCTTAATAAGATTGATTTCCTTCAGAATAAAACTGAGGAATATCTGCACTTAACAATCCTGACAGACTCATTACAGATTTTTGGTTTTTTTTTCTACTTGCATTCCAAGGAGAAATAAGAAAATGAGTCACATAACTGACTTGGCCATTATTTGGAGGAGGCCACAGCCTTCCTGGCTGGCCCATGCCTCTGTGGCTTAACCATAGGTCTCACCACTTGGGCAGTTTTGGTATTGCCTGCTTTAGATTCTTCAGATTCTGTAAAAGGACCTTGTATTTTATCTTTTGTTTGTTTGTTTATTTTTGAGAAAGAGAGAAACAGATCATGGGGAGGGGAGGGGCAGAGATAGAGGGAGACTGAGGATCTGAAGCAGGCTGCAGGCTCTGAGCTGTCATCACAGAGCCCAGCGGGGGTCTCAAACACGCAAACCCTGAGAGCATGACCTGAGCCTGAGCATGACCTGAGCCTAAGCCGGACGCTCAACCAACTAAGCCACCCAAGCGCCCCAAGGGTCTTTCATTTTAGTAGAATTTCTTTGATGTTATTTGGATGGGGAATCTGGGTCACAAGCAAGAAACTATATGGCCTTTAAGAATCTTCCTATTCCATCTAATTGTTTTTAACCATAATGGTGGAGCACTGACAGATTTGATTTATTTCTATTCATGCCACTGTTGCTAAATTGCGAAACATGACGAATGTTTCCTCAACATTATATTTTATAAAGCCAAACGTAGTTTGCTCTGTTAGAGATTCTGGAGTTTAGCAGCCTGATTTAGTCTAAAATGTTTTACCATCTGCACTTATTTTTTCTGTATTGTCATCATGATTACCATCCTTTCTTTGTCCCTCCCTGCTAACGATTCCATTTCTCTTCCACCACAAGTTTTACTTATCTGTAATCAAACACAGGACCTCATCTGCTTTTTTTTTTCCTCCAAAACCCAGCATCATCCAAGAGCTAGCTTTTCAGCATCACCCTTTTCATGAAAACATTCCCAGTTTTTAAGTCCTACTAATCTTGTTCTATTCTATCTCTAATAGCAACCCTTCTTCCATAGTCATTTAGATGCATTTGGTAATGCTACCACTTTTGTTTGGCAGCTAACCTCCAGAATTCTAGTAGGCATGTAACATACATTTTTTTCTGTTCTTTGCAGTTTGGCAGGGCAGCAGTTTTTTCCTCATTAGACAGATGAGGAAAGCAGGGTCAAGAGAATTTAAGAAACTGCCCCAGGAGTCTGCCTGCATCACTTTGTGACTTTCAGATCCACACTGTCTACAGAGCCACGGAACCTTCCTGTCACTGTAGCACTCAGCCATGCATCCCAGATGACCTAGTAGTATTTTCTGATTATTTACTAAGTATAAGACATAAAAAATACATATACGCTTGTATGAAATGTTTAACATGAATCAAACAAATGAAATAAAGGACGCCTGTATTTGTGTTTTTAAACAAAGAGCATTTCTCTTACACAAGTCTAGCTCCTTGACTTAATCTAGCAAACTATGCCATGATTTAGTCAACCCTTTCGTATTTTTTCTAAATCTTGTAATTTACCTCTTTTTCCCTGAAGTTCTCTCATGACTCCTCGTCCCACCAAGCAGATTCTTTCAGGTGGACAATTCAGCAGCATTTTTCTTCCAGTTTTCCTTGAACCTTCCCAAGAATGTTTCTGTATTTATTCCTGGAATGGTTACTTATGTCTTTTAAAAAGTAGTCTTCATAATGTCTTTCCCATTCTGTAATGATTCATCAGAAAGGGAAAATATTATTCAGTTCTTTAACTGCTTGCTACACTATTTTGCTTACAGCTTGATTTTGAAATATGTCTTTGTCTAGTTTAGCCCTTTATTTCAGATCTGCTTGCAGTCAACAAGAGCACGTTTATTTCTAGATGCTCCATTGTGTCAGGCACCATATTAAGCATTGGGAACCCAAATACAAACAAGCCATAGACTCAGTCCTTAAGGAGACCAGTTTTGACACTGAAACAGGAGAGCACATCTCCCTCTCAAGCATCTCATAACCATCTCTCCTATGCCTGCTCCTGATTGGGGTTGTAAAATTTATAGAATTATAAACTAAAATAGGAGCTGAGTGGAGCACCTAACCTAGATGGCTCAGTCGGTTGAGCATCTGACTTTGGCTCGGGTCATGATCTCAACAGTTTGTGAGTTCAAGCCCCACTGCTGTCCAGTGCAGAGATCCTCTGTCCCCCTCTCTCTGCCCCCCCTCTTTTTCTCTCTCAAAAATAAATATATAAAATAGCTGAGAAACCATCTTTTTTTTTTTTTTTTTTTTTGTCTGAGCAAGGCTGAGAGGAGGTTAAATGACTGGAAGTCACACAACGAGATTTAAACCTAGATTTTCCAACTCCCAATCTGATATCCTTTCTGCCATTTGTCACATTAGTTTATCATCTTCCATTACCAGGATGATCTCAATTGAACACCTTAAATTAGGCAGGAACTCCACTGTGGTAAGGTTCTTATATTTAAATTGCAAATTATATAAGAAAGACCATCTTGGAAATATGTAGAGAGTATACACAAGTCACATATGTCGCATCCATCTAGACTTGCTGTATTTACCCTTAGAATTGTAACACAACCAGGTACTATTTAGGTCTTTGTGTTTATACTGCATTGGCATGCATAGTCTTAGGGGAAAGCAGAATTATCTGATCTCATGGAACTTATATTCTAGTTGGGGAAAACAAAAATTAGTAAGCTTTATAGTGAGAAGCTTATGGACCAAAACAAGTGGACCTTGGTGGTCTAAGAGAAGGAACAAGGGGACTAAGTAAGAGACCACTGCGATAGCGCAGATGAGAAGATTGCCTTTAGATCAGAGATACTAGTGGAATGGCGAGAAGTGGTCATATTTGGATTGTATTTTGAAGGTAGATCCAACAGAATTTCCTAACAGATTGGATGTTGGTTGCGAGGGTAAGGAAACAATCAAGGTTGACTTCTCAACTTTGGGCATGAGAGACTGCAAAGATAAGTTGCCATGTACTCCACTGAATCATGAACTCAGAAGTGGCATCATGTATGTGATTCTAGAAGTACAAGATAAATGAGAAAGAAATTGTTCCCTCAAAGTGCCTCCATTCTAGTAGACAAGACAGACGCAAATGCATGCACATAATACTTCTTGGTTGTTATGACGGTGGCTTCAGCAAAGTGCTGTAAAAGTACACAGGAGAGAGAACAGTGATCTCTAGCCAAGGAAGTGAAGAAAGACTTCAAAGCAGAAGTTACATCTGAACTCAGTTTATCATTCTTCTTGAGTTGGGCATTGTATAACTAGAGCTTAGAAAGGTAAATTGTATTATGTTCATGAGCTAGAATAGTAAGAGTAAAGCAGGCCAGTAGTTATTTTTTGCCTCCATGTAAGACCACAGTTATGTATGATTGACCAGAAGGAAAAATCAAAATCAAGTACACTTTCCAACCTAGGACTATTCATATACATACGTATTATTTTCCATTGCAGGAGCCTTCTTCCTCTATGCTGGATTCGCTGCTGTGGGACTCCTTTTCATCTATGGCTGTCTTCCTGAGACCAAAGGGAAAAAATTAGAGGAAATTGAATCACTCTTTGACAACAGGTTATGTACATGTGGCGCTTCAGATTCTGATGAAGGGAGATATATTGAATATATTCGGGTGAAGGGAAGTAACTATCATCTTTCTGACAACGATGCTTCTGATGTGGAATAATTTTCAGCTGCTGAAATATTTAGGTATTTAAACAAACTTGGGGAACAAAAGCAGCAATTGGTGACCTCACTGCCCTGCTTTTAATCTGGTTCTTTCCAGTCTAGTTTTGAATGACCTCATATTCTAGAATATTTGATTAGGAGGAAGATACAACCATGATGACATTTTTTTTTTCACAAGCAGAAATGTGAAACAATATTTAGAGATTTTAAATTAATAATTATTGAACAAATGTATGTAAATCCTTCCTGAGATAGTCTAAAATGAATATTGTATCCAGTGACTTCAGTGGTATCCTTTTTTCCTAAGACCATATATAATTATTAGTGGCAATAGAGTCAGTCCTAAACTAGCTGAATCATATATGAATGATACACTTATGAAGAAGGATTCTGGGATATGATCCAAGGATGTTTTCTGTCAAAACATGGCCTGTTGGCCCTAAATTTCCCTAAGGACAAGTAGCTTATCTGTGATCAACTATTAGAAAGTGAATCCCATTTAAGCTTTCAGCAGATTCAAAAGTGCCTCCACAGAGGCATGGTTGTCCTTATCTCCTTTGGATTCCACATTTTGGTCTCTCTCTCTCCAAGTCAGATCTTGAGAGCTCTTGAGAAACTGACTCTGCACAGGACCTTTGGAACATTATGAAAAGCAGGTCTTTAAGGGTTTATTTTCATACGTATTTTTTTGCATCAGTGATAAGTATACATTTGCACAGATAAGCTGGCAAGTTTTGATAAGTATATTTTATTGCTAGAAAGTAAGAAAGAAAAAATTTTTATGGATCCCTGATTGAGTTAGTCACTTAAGTATGCACCTATAAACGCAAAACAGTGCCGTGTCTTCAAGTGTATTTCAGGGTTTCTGTTCATGCCAAAATCACCTGATACTCACCACGCCTTCACTCATCGACTCTAGAGCCCTACTATTTGTGCCTTCATTTTTGTTCTAAATAGCTGCTAGCAGACTATTTTCCCCCTTTTAATCAAATAATTTCTGAAACAAAAAAGAAAGGAAGAAAATCAGTGACAGAGAATGCTGCTGTTATATTGATGTTTAAGTAAATAGTGGGACTTAAGTTTTCCTTAACTTTTTATTAATTCTTCATAAGGGAATCATGACATTTCATTACTTAATAGTACTTGTCTTTTTTTACTTTAAGAGCACAAATTTGTTTTTATTTTGCACACCCTTTTCTCATTTTCCCTGACAGTTTACCAAAAAAGAAAAGATACATAAATTTGTCTGTGGGTGTTTCCTTTTTCTCATACTTGGCTTGGATTTTTTTCGTTGTCTAAAAATTGAGATTTTCTATTGGAACAGATTGATGTTTCTAATATAGCATACGTTTCTTCAGTGTCTTTGCAAAGTGTTCATTGGTTCTTATGCTCATTCATCAATGATCCCTATTTTTTGTTCTTAAGAACTTCACAGGATATACAAAATTACTTGCTACTTCCAGTGAAAATATGAATGAATCTTAAGTTTGATGCATTTTAATATGGCTCTAAACATCTAATAAGGCACTCTTTGGACTGAAAAGATAGCTATCTCTAAATTCATTGTTTCTGCCAGTCTCCCAAAGGTGTTTTGCTCTTCGTTGGAAGTCTGGCTTATTCCTGTCACTATTATCAAAACTGAAATTGTAGCCAAGGAGGTTTATTCTCTTAGCCACCAGGGGTATGATAAGTGTGCTTTTAAAATGTCACTTTACTGGCCTAAAAATCCTTCAGCCAAAAAAAAAAAAAAGCTCCCTTTGATCATTTCATACAATAAAAAAATTTATTTTAGAGAGTTTTTTTCCCTGAATTAGGTGCTTTGACAATTGATTTCTAAGGGTATACTAGTATTGATTTTTCCCCCAGAAAAGCAGATGTGATTTAATAGAAAAAGTTACTCATATTTCTTATCCCATAAGAAATTTCTTATCTGTGTAATACTTCACACAGGGAAAGTGAAATGGAAAATGAGCTATTATGTGGCAAAATCAGAATATGGGGAGAAAAAGCATTTGGACCAATTAAAGTGCTCTCTAAAAATGTATTTTTCTGATTTATCCAAATAATTGCCTCAATTCTTCTCTTTATTGTATACATAGCCTTAATTATATGCTTATATACTCAGCTGGGCTGAATGCACAGTAACCTTATTATTAAAGGAGCGACTGGACTTTTATTATCTCCTAATGCAGAACATGGCCTTTCTCCCTGATGTGAGCAAATGGCACTTTGAACTTTATATCCATAAATGCACATAAAAACAGGGAAAATTAGCCACAGTCCTCCTCCCCTCGTCTCCTCAAACTCTCCTTTAAAGAACTATTTGTTATTTATATAGTGATAAAGACAGTATTCCATATCTTGGAAGTATAGGACAGAATGGCATAGTATAAAGATTATTTATAATTTTTTAAAAAACAACTACTTAAAAAGAAACCTTATACAACTAGGGTGTTGTTTTTAGATTCAGTGAACATTTATAGTATATTAAAAATTAAGTATTTGAACTTTTCAGGTTTTTTTATATTATGTACCTTTTAAGTTCCTAGCATCTTTGGCTACCACTATCAACTTGAAAACATTGCGTTTGAAATATCATCAAATATATATATTTTTAGGACAATTTATATATGGTATGATTTGACCTACCATATTAAAACAGACTGAGCATCATGCTTTTAACTGAAATTATAGGTGTCCTTCTAAGCATGCTGCAAATTCAATAGACATGTATTATGTTTCAGGAATACATTGCAGAGCAAGTCATAACTCCTAGTTGAGGCTTAGCTTGGTGGCTGATGAGATCTGCTCTAAGGAGAATAGAACCCTCCATCTGCACCTGAACACAGGGCTGAACGTGAAGTCAGATAAATTGTAAAGATCTGGCATTAATAATTTTCTTCAGTACAAACATCCTTAATAATTTTGACTGTCGCACCTTAGTCAGTAATTACCCAAAACATGATTTTTAATGTATTTGTAAAAGATCCAAATGAAAACTAAATTTTAAAGGTAATATTTTCATTTGAAATTTTGTTCCCAGCCATATGCAGTAATTAGTTCCCTGATGGAAAATACTATGATGGTAATGGCTATCATCAAGTGCTTTTTCATAATAATATTTTACCACTGAACTACATTTTCATGTAGAAGATTCTAAATATTATTTTTTAGGTTATTCACCCTAAAATGAGAATTCCACTAAAGAATTTAGAAGTTGTTTACTATAGTTTCAAAATCCATTATCCAGAGGGAGAATGAACAGGAAAAATGTAACTGACAACCTACGCTTTTGCTTTTTATTGGAAAGTAAAATTGATATGTATTACAATCCTAGATCCTTGGTGGAGAATATTCTACAAAATACTATCCATGTGTTCTCTAAGAAAGTCTCACAACTTAATGACACTAACCGTTTACAAGTACTATAATACAGTAAGGAGGAGTGGAAGGATTGTTTTATCTCATCAGCATAGTTCAGAACAATAAAATTATTGAGATGTTTTGTAATAATCAGATTTTTTTAACCATTCTCCTGGTTATAAAGTCTCAAATTACACTAGCACCTAACAACCTACATTTACACAGTTGTTGCAACAAGTTTTCAAGTACCAAATTTAGATCTTTTCCTAACTACAAATGAAAAAAAAATATCAGGCCACTAGCAAAGAATTCATACCAACGTGCTTTATAGCAAAATGTATTAAATAGCGGATAAAATTTATAGCTTATGTGTAGCTGCTGACAATGACAAGACTCAGAATTCTTCTCTAGATTAATTTTAATGTCCTGTTTTCTGTCACTTTCTATCAATTTTCTTAGCCTCGTGTACAGTAATGTTAAGCTAATTTGATCAAGTGATCAGTGGTAGCAGTGTATCTGTTATCAGTACATTCCCTTCTTCTGGGTGAGAAATATTGCTGTTTTCCACAAATAGCAATCATCTTAAAAACAACTAACTGCTACCAACTTTTACATTATCTTTTAGAGAAGGAAATATTTGTGTGCCAATAATCATCAAAGAGATATTTTGTAAGTGTGCTAATGATGTTCAGAAGTACATGACAGAATTTTATCCTCATAACTTGCTTGTGAGTGTAAAACAATATAATTCCTATAAATCTTTACTTTGGATGTATAAAACAGTCTGTTGCACTGAGTGATTTGGTCTATGAAATGTTCAGTAACTACCTTCAGTTAGCAGTAATATTCAGATTTTTATTTCACACTCTTAAGTTCATGTGTTTGATTTTGTCATATCAGTATGAGAAAAAGGAATGCACCTTACAAGTACTTAAAAACCAATTTTTGTAAAGTTTTAAAATTTTAGTAAATTTAACATCATTCCATCTCATTTGAAGGTTAAAAAGATGAGACTTAACTCTAGCCAAAGTAGAAATTTATATTCTACATGTCCAAACTGGTTCCTAGCGGCTTTTGGACTATATCTTATTTGATGTTATAGTATCTTTATTTGTAATAAATGTTCAAATTTCTATTTAGAAGCTCTAATGTACATCTAGATTAAATCAAAAGTTTTATGCTTTTAAAATATGTATTTCAAAATGTATATTTTAATTTGAGTGCATGTTATATAGTATTTAATACTTCACATGTCTTAGAAAATTCAGTATAAATATTTATTCTTACATATGTGACATATGGGATGTCTCAAAAATTATGAATATGTATCATTTCCTTCAAAGTCATTCTAGCCTATAGCTGTATCAAAAGTATTGTATATTTTATGGAAATTTAGTGATGTATATGTAAATTTTTTAAGTTATTTTATTGAAGTTCAATCTTTACATAAAATTAAAATCTTTTTTTAAAAAAAGTGTCAGTGCCAGAACTGTAAATGAAAATAATCAAATAAAAGTTAAGACAATTCATTACTCATTTATCTCCCTTGCACTTTTGTATTTTCTTTAATTCTCTTCCTTGGATTTTAGGATCTAGACATAGCAAAGGCATCTACAAAGCTCCACATATTGAATA